CCACTTTTCTCCTGCTCCATCAGGGACTCTCTGTTGTGCTCCCTGTCAGGGTGGTCACTGGTGATAGCGGGGCACTATCTAGTTCTTCTGGTCTCAGGCTGATGCAGTCTCTGGTTTCTATGGCCCTTTCTGTCACTTGGGCTAATACTTTTCTTATGTCTTTGGTGTTCTTCATTCTCCTTTACTCCAGGTGGGTTGGGGCCAATTGATGCATCTAAGATGGCTGCTCACTAGCTTTGAAGACCCCAGACACCACTTGCCAAAGCAGGGTGCAGAACATTTTCTTAATAAACTTTGTTATGCCAATTGACCTAGATGTCCCCTGAAAGCATGGTCCTCAGACCCCTGCCCCTGCTACTCTGTCCCTCGAAGTGTTTGGTTGTATTCAAGAAACTTCTTAGCTTTTGGTTTAGTCCAGTTGTGTTGACTTCCCCTGTAGTGCGTACTGTCCTTCCCTTCACCTAAGATAATTCTTGTCTACTCTCTAGTTAGTGAATACCCCCTCCCTCCCTCCCCATTCTCGTAACCATCAAAGAATGTTTTGTTCTGTGTTTAAACCTTTTCTTGAGTTCTTATAATAGTGGTCTTATACAGTATTTTGAGAACACACACTTTTTAAGTGAAACAGACAGTGAGTTGGATGCAGACAATGAATTAAGGGTTTCCCTAAGACCAAGCCAAATATTTTTTAATGGAAAAAAAAAATCAGCTAATAGTGTTAATGTTTCTAGACTGTCACTACTCCACTGCAAACTGATTAGACCCACACTACAGAAAATGTTCTCAAAACAATCTTATTTCCTTTAAAACTGCTCAGGCAGTATGAGTAGTGATATATACCAATACCTACACCCTTCAAGGGCCACTGATGGCACAGTGGTTAAGATCTCGGTTGCTAACCAAAAGGTCGGCAGCTCGAATCCACCAGCTGCTCCTTGGAAACACTATTGGGGAAGTTCTACTTTGTCCTATTGGGTCACTATGGGTCGAAATCAACTCGACAGCAACAGGTTTAACACCCTTCAAACCACTGCAACATCCTTCCCATAAGCCAATCCACCTGCAACCAGGCTTCATTGAGCAAGTTACAATAAAACAGACCTCCTGATGGGCAGAATTCCCACATGAAGTATATTCAGATTGTACAGCTGTAGCTGTTGGTAGAATTTGTTCTATCACAGGACCCCAAGAGAACAACATAATTAGCTTTCTTTCATCTAAACGGAAACCCATATTTCTCGAGTCTGCACAGTGAATTCCTTTCATTACCATTAATTTAAGAGCCTGAATGCTCCATTCCAGAGACTCTGATTTCAGTAAGTCTGGATAGGGCTTTGGACGTAGGTATAAAACAAACAGGCAAAAAGCTCCTCAGATGACTCCAGTGCTTGCCCTGGCGAGGAATGAGCTCTGTGGTTGGCTCTGTGGTTGCTAACAACGCTTCTCAAACGTCACTGGGAATCTTATTAAAGTGCAGATTCTGATGCAAGAGGTCTCGGTGAGGCCTTAGGCTCTGCATTTCTGATGGGCTTGCAGCAACTGGACTACACTTTGAGTAGCAAGGGCTTCCAATGTGGGATGGAAACTCAAACGTCCCCAAAGGGCCACATACATGAAGTAGAGAGGACCAGGGAGGGCTCGTGTCCTCCTGGCGAATGCACGTGCCATCTAAAGGGATCATCTGCAATCAGCTCCCACCAGTGCTGGCAGGACCTTCTGATTTACCAGAAAGTCAGAAAGCCAGGCTTCTATGGGAAATCCTAACTGAATGTTAAATATCATGGAAGCCAACCAGGTCCAGCCACTGTGCTCATAATCACTTCATGTGGATTTTCTCATTTTACCCTCATTACAGCCCTAAAGGGGAAGTATTCACGCCACCCTTATTTTACAGATTAGAAAACTGAGGTGTAGAGAGAGAAAGAGATTAAGTAACTTGCCTAAAACCACCCGGCTACTAGGTAGCAGAGCAAGGATTCAAACCCAAGTCGGCCTAACCCAGAGCAGGCCACAGCACACTGCTGGGCTAGGGTCTAGCCTGGGATCCTGCTGCTCACCTGGACTGCATTAGTTTTGTCTTTTGGGTACCGAATCTTCTCTTCAGTTTTATGTCTTCAGTTTCATTCAGAGTGACCAACCATCTCATTTATCCCGGGATTGATGAGCCTTCCAGGTCGCGGAACATTGAGTGCTAAAACTGGGACAACTCTGAGCAAACTAGAACAACTAGGCTCAAGCAGAGCAATGATTGTGAGGATGGCACAGGACCCGACAGCATTTCATTCTGTTGTACACAGGGTCGCTGTGAGGGGGAACCAACTCCACGGCACCTCACAACAACCGTTTCCATTCAGGGGTGTTATAAACAACCATATGCGACTCATTGTTGCATGTGTTACAGAAAATTTTAAGAACACTGTTCATTCAGTAGGTACTGTGGAAAATTCCACTGTTTTCCTTGAAGAATTAGCACAGTTTTGTCCCCTTTCACTACGTGACTGACTTCACATCCCTTTTTTGCCCTACCCTACTACGTTTGTCTTTTGTTACTTACCTTTTCCCTTTAAGTAAAGGAAGTTCTGTTGCTAACTAGCTTCAATGCTCTGTGCGAAAGGAGAACACTAGACACGCAGAGACACCTTTCTGTTCTCATCACCCAGAAAGCACTGCAGCAGAAGGAAACCGATTAAGTACTGGACTAACCACAGACCGGAAGCTTTCTGTTTCTGGCATGCCAGTGCCCTCGGTAGCATCTCCTCTTGGTTAGCAGCCAAACGTTTAACCACTGCGCCACCAGGGCTCCAATGAGTGGGTAGGTAAGTTTATTTTGGGGGCATAGCATCAGGAACCTCATTTGGCTGTACACTCAGGTTACTTCTCTAATTCTCTGCATTTCATCAGCAAGAAAGCTGACCTCCTTGATCTCCATTTGTCAGATTCCATCTATCTCTCATTTGGGAAAAGAGGGGTGCTATTTATTGATCCTCTAAAATCCCCAAAATATTTTTAATCACCTAACATGCATGTGAAAACTGGACAATGAATAAGGAAGACCAAAGAAGAACTGATGTCTTTGAATTGTGGTGTTGGCAAAGAATATTGAATATACCACGGACTGCCAGAAGAAATAACAAGTCTGTCTTGGAAGAAATACAGACAGAGTGCCCCTTGGAAGGGAGGATGGCAAGACTTTGTCTCACATACTTTGGACATGCTATCAGGAGGAGTCAGCCCCTGGAGAAGGACATCATGATTGGTAATGAAGAGGGTCAGCGAAAAAGAGGAAGACCCTCAACATGATGGATTGACACAGTGGCTGCAACAATGGGCTTAAGCATAGCAACGACTGTGAAGATGGCACAGGACCGGGCAGTGTCTCGTTCTGTTGTACATGAGGTAGCTATGAGTCGGAACCAGCTCAATGGCACCTAACAACAACAAAAACCCCAACAGTTGAAAAGTGGGCAAGATAGTGGTATAAACAGCTCCTGTCCCCCCCCCCCCAAAAAAAAATAAATGTAGGAAAAAAACAAACAAACAGAAAGTAGCGGAACCAACAGTCTCAACTCTAGAAACCAGTCAAAGAGTTATGGCATCTAAGTGAACAGTGAATCAAAAAAGAGCCGACTTTCAAACAGGAGGAAAACTTTTCTTTCTACCTTAGATGCTCTCCTGGCTGTGAACTGTGAACCATGTTTCCCTTTGGCTCGGGAGGGTGCCGAACAGACTTAGCTTTTGCTGGTGGACTGCTGTGTGTGACTATTCATATCTGTCTGGAGGCTGTCTGAAGGACTGAGGAGACCTGACCCTCCCTGGGATGGGGTTGGGGAGGGGGAATCAGCAAACAAGGCCCCCAGTCTGTGGCCACCCTGAATCACCTGGATTAATTAGCATGGTTGAAGCAACAATAGACCTCTAAGGGCCAAAGGAGATGAGCTGGTGTGAGAGTTTCTTGCAGAATTTAGAACTTTCAAAGCACCAAGTAGTTCTGCAAAATGGCAGATTAGGAAGTTCGACAGGTCCGTCCCTCCACCAAAACAAAAGCATGGGAAAGAGCGATTGGAACCAACGTGCTTGGGCATTCAGAAAAATGTAAGTTCCAACAGAGGGGATCAGGGAATATCCCAAGATTTCCATGGTTCTTAAAAAAATGGTGCTGGAATTCAACTACCGGTGAAGGGGACCTGAACATTCCTGAGGAAGAAAAGGGACTGAACAATAGCAGAGACATAGGAAAGTACTGGAAATCTTGAGACCATATTAGGTGTAACCTGAATAACATTCAGGGAACTAGTTAGAGATTGATAAGGAAGACAGCTTCAAGTCGGATTGTAGAGGCCTTGAACAGCAAGTTAAAGAATGTGGATCTAATTCTCTAGGCAGTAGAGAGTGACAGAAGCTCTTTGAGCTGGAGAGTGTGGCTATCAAAGATGTACTTTAGCAAGATTAGTTTAGTGGACAATGGCTGGAGGAGAGGAAAGACCAGAGGCAGGCAGACCTGACTGGAGGGTTATCACATTGGTCCAGCTGAGGCAGAAGGAAGAGAAAGGAGGGATGGGCTTGAAAGACATTGCCAGAGTAGACAAACAACATTTGAAGACTGGAAATAGGAAGCAAGGGACAGGGAAGATTCAACAATGACTCAGGTTTTGAGCCCGGATGACCGAGGAAACAGAAAAAGTCATGAGGAAAATCTGAGTGGGGGACAGGGGTGAGGAAATCAATTTAAGGCCACATCCAGATGGAGTTGTCTAGCAGGCAGTTAGAAATAGGGACTCAGGAATTACTTTAGAATTAACAGATTATAGATTTAATATGTAACAGATCAAAATAGACATAGATTTAATAGGCAATCTAGTTAGAAGTAATCTACACAAGGTAAAAGTTTAAACTATGAAAGCAGACAGACTCACCAAATACAACATAGATGAATAACTCAATATTGGTTTATGTCAAAAACTTGCATGATATTTGTATCTCCCATTGTAAGACACGATACTGGATCACAATAAAATTTTTTTTTTAAAACCGAGAATGTATGACTGGGCTGAGACAGGAAGTCTGCGCACAGAAACTAATACAGCCTCGATGAAACATGGCATTTTGCAAATTCATTCCTTGGATCAAATTTTCACCACTGACGTTTAGAAGTTGAAATGCTAAGCAAATCTATTCAAATTATTCATCTCCATTCAAACTAATTTCTTTTCTCTTTTCCTCTGAAATCAACAGTGTTTTGTAGATGAGAGAATCAATTGCCATCAAGAAAAATGTATTTAATAAGAGTGCTAATCTCACCCTTGATGTCACAAGAACACCAATAAATATGGCCTTATGTTTGCATGCTGTACTGACACCATCTTGTGACTTAACAATGTACCTCCTTATCCTAAACTACCTTAATGTATAGTATCTTTATACTGAGATGCTTAGTCAGAATTATATGCCAAAATACATCTTCTCCAAGCCTCACCTGCTTTTGGTTTCTCTGGAGAGCTGAGATTCAAATGTTGATCTTCTGATGAAAGGTTCACATTGGTGCCATACAGCGGATCATCCAAGAAAGAGGGCCTTTTCAATCTCCCAATGCCAAGAGTTTTTGACATAAAATAATCTTTTGTGTCACTAATAACCTCATCCTTGGAAAATGGGAGGCATTTCATATTCTCTGCTTCAGTGACGAGAGTGTCTGGCATGTAACGCCCAGTCAAAGCTTTGGTGAGATAGTAGCCCCTAGGTGTTTCACAGTCTGCATTGTCAAGAATATTTGCATCTTCTACCTCAGTCTTTTCCACCTCGGTTTCTGATTCATTTACTAACTCAGAAAGGACCCATCTGGAAAGCTGGGGGAACTCAAATGTTTTATCCTCAATGTCTTTGTCTTCTCTTTCTGAAGAGAGTCTACTCATGTTTAATTTCTGCTTGAGTATGCAGCCATCCAGAAGAGACTTCAGCTGTTCCTCAGAGAGAAGTGATGTTGAATCTAGCTGGTGAAACAAACCAAATTTTTCATAGTCAATTGACTGAATAAACATTTGTTCATTTTTGGTAAGCCTCCAATAATACAGTACAAGCAGAAGTGCCATGAATCCCCTTACACCAAACACCCAAATAGGAAATAATTCATTTTAAAGTATCAAAAAGAACAGGGTAAACACAACGCAGCCCTGGAGAACAACTTTAGAATCAATCACGCACGTGAAAATCCAGGGAAAAGTCCCAGACGTTGACGGAAAGGAATCACTGTGCCAATTCACCACCAACGCCCTCTCTACACGTGGAAGAGAAGGAATTTGATCTGAAATAGAGACATCAGAAAACTATCTTTTTGCTAAGTAACCAGGAATCCTGTCACATTCTCCAATAGGTGTTTCTCTGTCCCCATCCATTCCGCAGTATGAACCCCACCACCACCCAATTCCCTGATTCTCTGCCCATGAGAATCATCACTCCTGCGTCTGTCCACAACTTTCAGCGGACAATACTGCTGTAGAAAGAAAAGGAAGGATGGAGGAGTGGTGCATCCTGAGATGTGGAGTTGCTTCAAAGCTACAGATTTAGGCAGAGGCCAGGGGCATTCCAGAAGCAGTGCATTCTGGGAAGAAGATTTGATCATACACATTTAATCCCTGCTTGTGAAAATTATCAGGGTGGGTCTTTCTCCCAAAACCAAGGTCTTAAGAATTTAAAAACATTTTTTTTCTCCCAGTAGTGTTCTCAGAAAACAGATAAAACAAATGAAACCGAAGTACGGTTCTATGTGCTCCATGAATTCAACTGAACAGCATGCCACTTAAGTTGCAACACTCTCAAAAAGGTACGGAATTAAAACACACTGAAAAAATCTCGCCTTTCCTAAAGAATCAACGTCTTCCTAAGTTACATAGTGAATTATCCAGGAAAATACTAATCCTTCTTTTCAGAGGAGTCAAACAAACCGAACAAACCAAGAAATCTCCATAAGAAGGCTTAACCTCGAATAGCTTCATCTTAATTTCTACTTTAGAGAAGTTAAAAAAAAAAGTCCTACTTCGTGAAGGTATACAGTAAAAAATAAATATTCTGTATATGAAAGTCACTGGGAAAAAAATCTCAGTTATTGCAACTAGTACAGTTAACTCCCCATTATTGTGCAATGCTTCTAATCCAGCTAATAAAAAATAGGTAAAACAAATTTTTCATGACGTTTTTAAATTATATCAGTGATTTAAAATTATATTTAACGTCCCTATATTAAAACCTGGTTTTCACAGTGCCACTCTGAATTTGAGAGTAATAAGAAATTATCTGGGAATACATCTTAATTGTCTGGAATTCAAAATTCAGATAATCCACCCTAAAGTTAATACCCATGTCAACAAACGGGTTGAATTATGCATTAGCAAATCCTACTGTTAAGCAATAGGTATTTCAGGCATCCAGATGTGTACTTTATCACTAAACTGCCATAATGCCAACTGCCAATTATCAGTAGCAGTCCCTACACCCTGACTAGAAAACAGAGACCGTCCTTGTATGGTGGTGTTCTTGTGAGCTGCTAAGTTGATTCCGGCTCATACTGACATATATAACAGAGCAGAACTGCCCAGTAGGGGTTCCTAGGCTGTAATCTTTATGGGAGCAGATTGCCAGGTCTTTTCTCCTGCAGAGCCACTAGTGGGTTTAATCCACCACCAATCTTTCAGTTGGCAGCCAAACACTTAACCATTGCACCACCAGGGCTCCTTTAAAGCCTACAGCGTTCAGTATTCCCAGCAGGTCTCTCATCCAAGTACTAACCAGGCACTTACCCTGCTTAGCTTCCAGGATCAGGCGAGATTGGGTGCATTCAAGGTGTATGGCCATTGTATGTTTCTAAGTACTTTAAAGGACACTTTCAAAATTTGCTTATATAAAATTGCTTATACTAAACAATCCCCTACAACTGAGAAAGAGACCACAGAGTGCCATCCTCACCAAACATACTCACCAAAGGCTCATCATTATGAAATCTGCAAACACTAGAAACAAAGAGAATATCCCAAAACCTTCCAAGGAAGAAACAGATCACATACAAAGGGCCTGGAATCAAAAGGCTTTAGACTTTTCAATAGCAATATTGGAAATTGAAAGACAATGGAGAAATACCTACAAAATTCTGAGGGAAAATTAGTTTCAAACTAGAATTCTTTATCCAGCCAAACTATAAACCAAATGAAGGTGGGATAAAGAAATGTTCACACATGCAAAGATTCAAAAGATGCACTTTTCATTCACCATTTCTTAGGAAGCGGGTAAAGGGTGTGCTCCACAAAAAGGTGTAAACAAAGAAAGAGGAAGGCATGAGGTTCAGAAAATGGAGAGTTTAACCCAAGAAGCAGCAAAAAGAAGGCCCAGGATGACTCCTGACCTAGAAAAAAATCAGTACAGACTGGAGCAGGAGGATGGATTCTGGAAGAAAGGGCTCTGGGGGAGAAAAAAAGGATGGGAAGTTGGTGTATAATCTGGTATGTTGGACTATTTCAGAAATAATATTGATAGGATAGATGCATGGCTGTTCTGATGGTGTAACTGGGTAGACACATAGAAAATGAAACAAAAGGAAAAACAAAGCAATTATTAACTCTGGAAAAAACAAAAAGTTATATCAAATGAAAGGTAAGATGGTGCATAGGTACACGGAACACTAGACCAAAAAAAAATAAGATAATTATTATTAACACTAAGACAAACAAAAAGTTGTACAAGAAAGGATACCATAGGATACTACTTGTTTCTGCTGTGAATAATACTGACAAAGTCTAAATCATAATGTAAATACTGATGACTAAGGTAACCAAACATTGTGACTTAACTAGTTTAGGGAAATGAGGGGAGAGAAAAAAGCATTTGGTGGACAAGCTTAAATCCAAAGCTACCATTATAAGAAGTCAATATATAATATTCTAAAATGGATCAATTAAGAAAATAAGTTATAAAGAAACATTGTAGAGACAATAGTAGGGGGAAGCATCGAAAGGAATTATAAGTGGTTGATTCTAGAGAGTAAGACTAAGGGGTCGGGTAGTATGGGGAAAGAGGCTGTCATTTTTATTTTTAAAAATTTTAATACAACTTTTTCTTTAACTAGTTCCTTTTATTACTGTGATAAAAATTTAAATTAATTTAAAATATAATGTAAAAACAATTTAAATGTATTCAATTTTAAAATAAAAATTAATATAAAAAGAAACAAAAATTTGAAATGTTAAAGTAAAATCACCAACTGATCATAACTTTGGGCCTCAGGAGCTGATCCAGGTTTCATGCAGCCTAAGCACATATCACTTTGCAGTGGAGGGAGGGAACTTCTTTAAGAAAATGAATAAAATATCACAATTACAAAATTGGTATGGAAGTGAACTTCTTTTTTCAGAATGTGAAAAAGGTCACAATAAATTATCGGAGGTTTGGAGATTCAAGTTCATCTCTTAGAAGATCTCTTTAGGTCATTTACCAGAAATGCTTGTATAGAAATATTTCCTGATTGCAACCTGGCTTCCTCTCCGTACTCCATTTACGTAAGTTATTTACAAATGCTAAACTGGACTCAGCTAGGGCTCTATCACAAACACCCCTAACTATCCTTATAGTTAAGGGACTATAACCCATACACATCCAAATTGTTCTTAAAGCTCCTGAGCTAACGAGCTCCACAACAGAAATGCTCACCATGCAATACAGTCACATAATCATATGATCAAGTGCTTACCTCCAAATATTTGTCTTTCACGCCAATTCTCATTTTCCTATATTTCACAGACTAGTCATTAGTCATACTATTCCAGGTAGAGCCCAATTTTATTTTCTCTCCTTATACGAAAACTCCTCCTTCCCATCTTCATTTAGTAAGTAGTAGCGCTTTTATGGATTGTCTTTTTTGTTTTAGCCATAGTCTGTTTCCCACAGTTTAGAATCAAAGAGTGGATGTATTGGACTCTCACTCCAGAAAAAATATACAGATAGTACATTTGTGGTGTTATTTCTCATGTCACCTCTAGTGATGACCGCCATCTTGCTGGTCTTGTTAGCACACCAGGTGACAGTTTACAGAGTAATAGCAACTAACATTAAGCACCTACTGTGTGGCAAACGCTGCTCTACACATATTACATGTATGGATTCCTTTAATCTTCACAACAAACTTATGAAGTAGGTACTATTGTTATTTCTATTTTACAGATTGAAAAACTGAGGCACTGAGAAATTAAGTAATCTGTTCAAGGTCACACAGCTAGTGAGTGGTGGGCCTGGGGTTTGAATCCAGGTAGTCTGGCTCCAGAACCACTAGGAGACACTACCTCTCACTGTATCTTGAGTTATCCCTCTACTATTCTCCAAGCGTCCTTTTCCCAACTGATGTTCATTTTTCTGCCCATTTTCTGAGATATAAAAACTCTCCCTGTAATGTATTTCACTTAATTTGAGACTTTATTACTTAGGCTAGCTCAGTGTCTTCTGCAGATTTACACAGCGCCCTCTCTCTTAGCTCATTTCAGAACAAGATAGTCACTCTACCCCTAGGGTGCCCACTGTGGACACTTGTCCACCAGATACATGCCCACTGTTTACACCTGTCCGCCAGATAAATGCCAGTTTGCTTTGGGAGCTAAGTCGGATGATGGAACACAGACTGTGGATGACCTCCCTCCCCGCCATGTCTCCCCTCCTATCCTGTACATCTAGAGTTTCCCCAGCCATAAAAGTTTCCAGTCACTTGGGCAGTGGATTTGTTCACAAGGCCATCAGGAGTGTTTCAGATCATCAGACAGTGCAGCAGTGTAAGCCAGCGCAGGCAATCTTAGCGCCTTTGATGTGCGTCTACGTCAGGTTTTATTTTCTTTCCCCAAACACTGAGTTCCTGAAGACTCACCTTATAAAGTCAATGCCATTACCACAAGTGAGAAAGGGTGGAAATCCAGAGTTCCCTAAACAAGGTGAGCAGGTATATAAATAGCTTTTAATGACA